GGTGGGGGTTTTTTTGGGGGGCTTAAAAATGTCCCATTTTGGAAAGAGGGGGGAAAGGAAAAAGGGATACTATCCCCGGGGGGGGGGGGGGGGGGGGGCATGCCCTCGCGGAACTCCCTCGTACAATAAACAATGATGTTGTCATCTTTTCATTCCTGCCGTGGAAGGGTCGCGCCTAAAGTAAATAGACTACAAGCAGCCGCCGCCATTCGCTCGGGCATAAAGAAAACACATCTAGAACACAACACACGGACGACGCTTAATTCAGACGCACATGCAGTGCGCTGAATCTCGTTCGTTCGTCGTACTCTAGCGCTCATCCTGGGGCTAGGGGTTTCACACCCACAGATGGTAGTCTCCGTAAGAGCATGTCCCAGTCCCAGGCTCTTGTTGCTTGTGATTGCGAGGGTGTGTTTCCCATATGTGGGGAGGTCGAGTGTCTGTTGAAGCGGGTCGTGAGCGTTTTTTTCAAGTTTTGGACGTACGTCTGGCTTTGCGTCTACGCGTGTGCTCCTGCACGCACCCACTCACGCTTTTGACGCGAATAAATCCAAACGACGAAGTCGGACCAGAGGCTCCGACTTGTGACGGGCAGCAGGACCTTGTCAGGGGTATTTAAGATGGGCTTGGAAGGGTAAAAGACAAAAAACTATCATAACAGCAGGTTTTACACAATTTTTGTGTCGTGGTGTCTTGGGGAGCTGAACACGGTCCCCGGCTGCTAGACCCGAGAGAAGAGGAGTGGGCTGGTCGTTGGAGCAGCCAGCATAACTTTTTGCTCGGCGAAATATACTCATGTTCAGAACTAGCCTGGCCACGACCTAGCATCAGCCGCGGTGTCCTGTGCCGGCCACCAATGGCACGAACTTGAAAGTGCGCTCCAACACAAATGATGATGGCACATGGCACCAAGAACTGCGGGCACCTTGTCTCTCTCTCTCTCTTGACCCGTTCATCTCTAGGTGTCAGGCGTTGAGTTGGCGAGAGTAACCGAGCGAGTTGCTTGCTCACTTTCCCCGGTCGCACGAGAATCAGCACTTTCTTGCAAGCAAACACACTCACTCCCGACACACTCACCGGACTTCTCAGGGTCTGCTGTTTCTTTGCCCCAACTCCTGTATTTCCTTAGCTGTGGATGACCCGGCGCGTTTTCAAGCCAACATCCCGACAAAACGCGCCCGGACACGACTACAATTTCTTTCTCCCCGCACTACTTAGCTCCAAATCCTCTCTCGTCAACATTACCGGCGCGAAGAACAAAGACCTCGGTCACTTGTTACCCCTCCCCCCCGCTCCCGGCGAAACTAATTTAGACGCTCGCAACTACCCTTTTTCTCAGACCCTACACACTATATTGACCCCACTCCATACTCTCCTCTCCCCTCCTCAATGTTTCCAGCTAATTGCGCACAAAGATACACACGAAACACACCCCGCACCTTTACGTGTTTTTTTAAAGTTTTCAGCATTCTTTTCCAAAAAACGAGGTGGGAAGATTTCCATTTTTGTAATAATGTCGTATTTTCGGTCTAAGACCAGGCAACCGGAGAAACAAAACAAAAGACAAAAAAAAGACGGCGACATAGACAAACAAACCTAAAAGAAAACGCCACACACCCGGATTGATTCATAGCCCAGTCGTCATGTGTGTGTGAAGACTGCAAACGATCACCACGTTTCATACTCCGATCTCACCCCCCCCCCCACAACAACGACACTACCAACTTCCATCTTTTCCCTCCTTTACCACCACTTTTTGCAGTGTCCAGCTGCATCCCAGAGTAGTCAGCAAACACGTTCGCACGTTCGCCTACCGGCCATGCAAATCTCTTCTCCACCCACGCACGAAAAAACCGGACCTACTTCCACCAGAACATGGATCCCTTCTTCTTTTCTTTTCCGAGGGGGCTTTTCTTCTCCCCCCTTCCCTCTCCTGCGTAGCCAAACCTAAAACCGACCGTCGCCGCTCGTATGTAGAAACAAGACACCTCCTCAAAGCTACTACTACTACCACTATCGACTAGAACTTCAGAACTTCAAGAGTCCAGATAAAGAAAGCCAAGAGATAAGATAGCCAGACAAGACGGACAAGCCCGGCAGGCAACCGCTCCACTTCTTCATTCAACAAAAAACCAGACATCTGTATTATATGCTATGTGTCAAATTAATAAGTATCATTTTCACCATCCCCCCCCCCCCCCCCCCCCCCCCCCCGCTCCCCCCCCCCCCCCCCCCCCCCCCCC